CAAAACTACTTCAACATATTAACAATGGCATTGTTGTTATATTTTTTCGTTTGTACACGCTTTTGTTCTTCACTTCTCAAATGCTTTTTCGAAATTAATAAAAACCAAGACAAAAATTAAAAATTACATGTTGCATTCGAACCCGAACATGCTGGGAGCTAAGAACTAACAGCGAGCATCTACAGCTACAGCCAGACATGCAAATGTGCTTTCAAATGCTCAACTTCAATCACATTTCGTTAAAACACGAGCAGTGATCGGATGACAAACAATAAGCTGGCGCAGAGACACGAGTTGGTCCGCTACAGCATGACAGAGGAACACTTTTGTAAGTACTCCAATATACCACAAATAGACTACATGGTCCAACGATTTTGGCAGGGTATGTACAGTGTACACGTATTGCTGTTGATTTGCATTAAATGCGATGACTCTCTGACAATGGAAGGTGAAATTAGAGAGCTGTGGAGGTATTAGGATAGTTTGAGGAAACTACAGAACTAGACTATAGCTTTCAAAGGCAAATAGATATAGATACATAAAAATCAAATACTAATCAAGCTGAACTACATTTTTTCCCAAAACCCGCACTATTTAGTATATACCACAAACAGGGTTTCAATGGTAATTTTTCCCAGCAGGGTAGATTTTCCGTATTTATGTATTAAGTATTAGCACATGTATATGTGTTATGACCATTATAGCCAACAGCGTCATTGTTATGGCATGCACTTTTACTGCAATTTTATTGCGATTTCGTTCAGCCTATTTAAAATAAATTGCAAACTGTAATAGGCGCTTTATGACATACGAACACATACATACCTACTCGTATAGTAATTAGTTTGTAGTTATTTAAACGCGCCTAAACTTACTACAACACCCGCCGACTATTTCGGAAATACTACTAAGTAGTTCGCTGGCAACACTGTCAGTGTCAGTCGTTTTTCAAGATCATTAGTTTGCACTAATTTCTAAGCAGTTTTGCTATATTGAAGCTGATTTTGGAAAGCCTCAAGAGAAAGCCAAATTTGGAATGTAAGGCGGATGACCCAATAATTTTACAGCCCAATAACGCTTTTGTACGAACTGTTGTATGGGGCTCGCATTGTAGTGATGGAGGATAATCTCCTTTCGGCTGTTGATTTTCTTGGATTCTCCGAATACCTCCAGCGATAAATGTGTACCTATGTATACTTCAGAATTAACAGCTTTAGTTTGCTCAATTGGTACAGGCGGTTTTTTCTAAAAAAAAAAACAACGCAACCATTTACTTAGATGTACTTCATCCGCGGATAACTTTTGTCGGATCATGCTCAATTTAAAAATACGCACACAGTGTATTGCCGTTTTTTTTTTTGGGCTCATAAGCGTAGATCCATGAACCGTCACCTATCACGATGTCGAGACGTATTTATTTTGAACCAGCCCGGCTGTAATTTTATTAGCGTTTCTTTGTCCCAATGGACACCAGCCTTTTTTAATACCACAACATATCTTCCTGGCCCCTAAATGCTCACATGAAATGCTGTGTATGCCGCCTGTGCTACTATCTCACCATATCCGTCTATGTACCTCCTGTGCGACCTCCACGAAATTATTGGTTTTCACGTGATGGGGTTAAATATCACACCGAACAATGAGGTGGAATAAAAACTTTAACTTTGTCTTAAGCTACCTAAATTTTTCGAGGCTACAAGAATACATATACTCCTCTAGAAAATTTGAACAGCTGCATAATGGAAATGCAACGAGCATATACATATATATTTGAAAGTAAAATGTAGAGAGAGAAAGGACACGTGCTCAATTCCGAAATGTGGCAAAGAGGTGATACAAAATTTTCTTTTTTTATTGGGTTATTGAACACTTAAGTGGCTTTTAAAGGTTTAAAGCGCAGGTAACCAACCAAGCAGCCGTCCAAGCGATAAACCTTCACGCCAAATGAGGCGTTAAAGACCACATTGCCATAACTGTACTCGTATAACTGTGTGCATGAGTGAATGAATGATTGAATATGCGACTGCTGCAGTGATGCCAATATGATGAGTATGCGGCTGAGTACTCGAGTGCCCGAGTGAGTGCCTGTCGAAGTGCGCTTAAAGGTGACAATAGGGCAAGCGTTTGCACCGAAGTGGAAAGTGAATGAAATACGAAAGGTTTGGAAACAAAAAGATAACCACGTACCAAGCGCGGTGAACAACAAGCTGAGAATATGCAAAAATAATAATAATGCAATAAGTAGACAATGCGCGCTGACACATCGTACACTACAACACGTTCTGCTAATAAAAAATGCAAATTATTGCGGATGAAATTCCCTAGCACCTACGCGAGTCGTACATACATTTATACATAGGTGTGAGGAATGGCTACTGAAGGGCTGCCGGTCTGGTTGATAGCTTGGGTGCACCCCTAACGAGACTAGACGGCCATGAATGCTTTAATGCAAATTAAATTAATTATTTTTGTAAAAATTAAACATGTTGTGATGCCTGTTAAGACTTGTATTTAATTGCAATTTTATTTATTTTTATTGATTTTGCTTATCTTCATTTATTTGCAGTCCATAATATCGCCGGATCCCACCCCTTATGTGACCAAAGCGCGCGTCACGCGGCCCACACCGCCGCCACCGTCCTACAATCCAATGCAATTTGTACAGATCAAACCATGCAATCTTTACCAGACCGCACAGGAACAGCTAAAGAAGGCTGAGGAAGTGAAAAAGATCAAGGAGATCAAAAAAGAGGAGCCCGAGGATTGGCAGAATGTAAGTAGATCATTTAAGATTTGCATGAAAATTTATAGATAATCTAAGTAAATGAAGGAGTAAAAGTTATAAGACATAAAGTATAGGTAATCGCAGAATTAATCCAAGATATAAAGAGATCTTTCGATTCAGTTGTTATGTTTTCAATAAGTTTATTCCTTTCTTTTTTTTTTTGTTTGGCGCCCAAGTAACTTGGCCATTTTCTCAACTTGATTTTTCATGCGGTATTCGCCTTAATCAACGTTTCATCGGATGTCGCCGTGATCCTTGCTTTTGGGCTATATACCAACACAAGTATGATGGGTAACTTGAGGTCTGATTATGGCAACTTAGAGGCTGTCATTTAAAAATTCTCTTAAATGGATGTTGCTTATATTTGTACAGGCGAAACTTAAAGTAACTTATTGCCCCGTCCAAGTCTGTTTCATATTGATTTTCAAAGTTCTAATCAGACTTTTATAGTACTTCGAGAATCCCTTCCTTGCCCATCGTTGCATTAGCATCGTCAAGTACGAGCTTAATATCGTGACAGGGTAGCGCTAATAAGTGCGCTTCAACCACTCATAGAAGAGTATGACTCGTTCTTCCCTTAGATCGCTTTGATGCAATTTGAGGCGGGAAACCCGTTTACCAGAGTGAACGGAAGCACCCGAATTTTCGCTTCTTACACAGAAGCTGTAGTAGACATCCGCAAGACCTGACGTGCTACTTGCCTTGTCCCGGCATGGCGGAATGGCAGCCCTTTGATTTTCCAAGCTCAGCAACAAGTTGGTCAAAAGCACCTTCCCTAATAAATACCCGGGCATTTCAGGTGCGTACCTTTAAATCATAGTCCCTTAAACATTTTCCGGGGTCGTCAATGAAAGAAACGTTCTCATCCGAGACTTTATTTTCATTGGAAATAGGTTTTACATGGAAGATGACCAACCCTGTGCATAACCATATCTTCGGTACATTTCTAAAGTTTACCCTCACTTGCAACCGCACCTCATTGTGGACAGACACTGCAGACTTCAATGCGAGATCAATTGTTTAAGCCAGTTTATATATTTACAAATGATTTCATCATCAAATCATTTAAGTTGGATTCCTCCTGATAGCCATGGAAAGGAAATACAAAGATTGAAAAGTAAACTTTAAATCATATCCCCAAACCTGACATGCTTAAAAACTTTGCCAAAAATTTGTAAATACTGAAAGTGGATTTCCATTTCTGAACAATTTTTCAGAAGCCAAGTTCAGAAACTCAATTCCATCTGCCAACTCCAACTTCTGCCCAAATATTATTAAGAGATATGTAAAAATTTTTCTCATTTTCAATTTTTTTTTTTACTGCACTTATTCATGTTAAATTATATAATATTCGATTCCGTTAAAATCACTAAAAAAAACAAGGCTGAAATATTTCTGGCGTATTTTTCACTAAAAAACAAAAGCCATCAAATGAATGCTTAAATAAGGAAATGACTTTGCGGCAACAAAACTAATTTTGAATGCTCACGAATTACGATGTTTACGATCGAAATAATTTGGGGTGTGTATAATTTAAAATTTGCCAACGAATATCCGTTCGTTGGACGCATCGAAATGTTTGTTGAATTGTATTGAAGTTGTGCAATTACGCGGAGCTATGCGCTATTTCTTCAAATTATTTTATTTTTTTTTTTGTTTTAAGATAGTAAGACAAAGTCAGATTAACAACGTACGTAAATAAAAATTGAAAGGCAGCCGACGGACGCAACACAAACAAATACCTGTATAGAAATCATAAACGCAAGTCGTGACAAATTTTCGAAAATAGCAGACAAATACGCACAAAAATGGCGATAAAAGGCGACAATTTGTATCTATCTATGTTTGTTGTTGAGCTTATTTTCTTCAGTTTTGCTTCAGTTTTACTTCTTGTTCATTAATTTGTCACATTTAACATTGGACTACACGAATGCATACAGACGTTTAGTGCCATTTGAGCAACTGAGTTATCGCCGTGGAAATTTGGTCAACTCACTCGTCGAGCAACAATTATTCAATACTGGCGCTTACGCCTGCGCTAAATGCTATGAATTGTAGTTGTATACAGAGTAAATAGTATTGTAAATAGCAGCATGAAAAATTCCGCTCAGGTATCAAAAAAAAAGCTCGTCCAATGTAATTTGTTACTTTGTAGCTCTGCTAAAAATAAGCGGACTTGCGGACTTATTTATGTATATACAGTATCGGTCATATCTATAGCACGCCATTTCAAAGTGATATTGTGTGCCACTTATGTTTATTTATTTATTTTTAAGAATTCACAATTAAAATACAGTTCTTTCTCTAACAAACCCCATATAAACCCAAGTTTAACAATTTGTAGAAAACTTCAAAAAAGTACAACAAATTTTCACCTAAGTTTCAGACTTTTTTCTCGGAAGTGTTAGAATTTTTGCGAGTACACAGTTTTTTAGCCACTGTAATTTTAGTCCGATAATGTGCAAATGTAAAGTGGCTACGAATTACCGTTAATTTTTTAGAATTTACATACACTTTGAAATGGCGTGCTATAGATATGACCGATACTGTATGTATTTGTGTTCCAGTTTACTGCCAAACGTTTTTGTATGTATGGGGCGTGGTCGACATACTGCCACAAACATTTGCATTCAAATATGGACATAGCTGCTTAGTTGCAAACAGTTTTTTTTTTGACATTTTTCTAAAATTTACTCACAACACACTCGTATTTTCGGTGATTACGTAAGTTTTTCTTAACGATTATTCGTGGCAGACATGATGACTGCAAATTTTACCAAAATACAATGCAATTACAAATTAACATTAGTACACGTACATACGTACTATTTGTATGCAGGGATCAACAAATTTAGTACCTACTCATATTCGGCTCATGAATTGCCGTTGTTTTTTTTTTTGTAGCGCAATCATTTTGTACTATTGTCTGCAGTTGACACCTCAAAAGGTTATTTAATCTAGTTTTTACATTTTTTGTGTTATTCATTTGTAATATGTATGTGCATATATTCAAACGTACATACATATATGTAACAGTCCAACTTGCACAAGCCAACTGTTTGAAACTGTAACGTTAAATGCAAGTAGTTTACACTTACAGTGATGTTAATCAGCAGCAGCAGCAGTAATGATCCGCTCATTTTACGTACATATGTATGTATGTGCAGTAATTCACGTAATCATCATTATTAGTCAAGCATACTAACATTTGCCGCTGTCTGAATTTATTGCTATTTTAATGCTCCATTTATTTCACATTCCGTACATAACGGGTGTTCGGCTTACGACTTCATATCTAGCGCAATTTTCACCGTTTATTTGGGAGGTCTTGCTCAATTTACCAAGATGCATAAAAGATCACGGAAACCCAAATTGAAGAGGGAAGTATACAAATTTTGGTTAGTCAAAATTTAAAATGTATCTTACAAGACGTCATTTCTAGAGAGTCCTGGTTAAATTGTGCATAGCTTGACAAGTGGTGTCTGAAGAGGCAATAAGGCTTATCTTGACTCTTTTTATGACTTTATGTCACCCGTGTTTTGATAATGTTTATCCGCAGATACTAAAGCACCGGTAAGACAAACTCCTTAGGGCTATTATAAGTATCTTTTTAGATGTTGATAGGGTTGACCGGTTTGAAAAGTCAAATTTGTTTTACTTATATACAAGCTAAATCAGATCTGCACCGAATTTCAAATGAGAAGTCAATTGAAAGAACTGGGATTCAACATACATACATGTGCCAAAAGGTTTAATTTTTTATTTTTAAGCTAGAACCTTTCTAGCGGTACAGAGTGATTTGAAATTTGACGAAATGAAAACCGACACCATGCAAATCTTCTCATCACTCAGAAATCGGTTGGATGTATCATTAGTAATAATTTTTGAGGCTTTTGAATAAGGCTTTACCTGTTTAAAATGTTAAATTCAATTTTCAGCGTTTTACCGCCATGCGGGTTCACTAGTACTCATTAATTTTCCTAACTAGATGACAAATAATTGGTTCTAGCGAGTTATCCGTAAGGGAGTTATTTGTGAGCTGTGTCTAGCCATCTCATCGGGTGTTTCGTGCCTCTACTCCTATGTCCGGCAATCCACCAAAGACTAACGTTGTTGTCAACGAATATAGTGACTTTCTCTGATAGGGTCTAACTTTTCCGTATTAGACAAGTAGCGTTCTCTATGATCGCCGCATGAAAGATAAGTAGTCGATATGATGCTCTGACGAATAGAGACACGCGCCGACTGCTTTTTCAATCTTTAAGCCTACATTGCAAATGGTAACACAGTCCTTTGCCGCCCTAGTTTAAAATCGTATAAAAATGCTGAAACGAAAACCCCCGCAGTACCGTAATGTGTTGTATGTGTAATATGTTGCTATTTAAATCAAAATGATGGAGCGGATAGTGTTGGCTTGCCTTTTGTGTAAACTGCGACTCCCCAAGCTTTCGTGCTGCTGCATTAATAAGAAGTGTAAGCCAAATTTACATATGTATGTAGATGTTTCCCGCTCTTATCTCTTCGTGCCTCTTTTCTTTAAATTTTCATCTCATTAGTGTTTTATTCTTAACGGCCCGACCCGATTGCTTTCCCTTCACTAAATACACTTGACCCATTTACTTACTTAAAAGTTTGATTTTTCTTGCCTTAATGAACCAATACTCGAGGTGCAGCGAACGTAATGAAATTGTATGTAATTGAATATTTAACATTTTAATGAAAACAAACGTAAAGTCATCTTCTATTGGACACAATTTTTGTTTGTTATCTCTTTTTTATATTTTAGTTTTCGCCCTTTTTTCTTGAACTCTTTTTTCTTGTCACTTTTCTGCTTGTAATCACACGATTTGTTGCTACTGTTTCGGTAGTAAAAAAACATAAATATGTATGTAGTACTCGTACATGTGTATGAGAACGCAGTTATGCGTGTGAAAATCAATTGATACGCGCCCAACATTTTTTGTTCGATTGGACTATTGTGCCATTGACTGGCTTTTGTTTTTGGCATGCTGACTCGGCTAACTTGGCTTACTCAACAAATTTAGACCTAGTAAAAGTGCAGGCATATATGCATGTACATATGTATGTATGTATATTTACTACATATTTACATACATACATACATACATATGTGTGTGTGACTTGACTGACTTGAGTAAATTATTTAATTTAGCCAGCTGGTGGGAAAGGAAGTCGTTATCGGCTAAGAAACCAAGTGCTTATGTGCTTAAATCAGCGTTTATTTGCCATTGCATAAGTTAACTGCACTGTTTTGTTTGTTGTAATACTTAAATACTTTTTATTGCGTTGACTTTATTGTTTTACAGTATTTAGTTTTTATATGTTGTATGTATCGCATACACTTTTTTTTTTTTTTGCCTATTTGCCAACGTACCAACGTACTCGCGTTGTTACATGTTTTTTTAGAGAAAGTTCGGAAATTTATATGCAATTTGTTTTAAGTTCGCATTCATGTGAGGTAGGCTGAAAAATAGATTGACTACAATTTAGCAAAAAAGCGCAATAAAACCCCTCGTTCGAATGTTTGTTTGGCCACATATGTGCCTACATACATATGTACATACCTATGCACAGGATATATACTTAGTTGTCAATCAGCTAAAAAAAAAAACAACTTCTTCCTACGTATATATGTATGTATGTATTTTTTTAATGATTCGAAGATTTTTGGAGGACTTGGAATTGACCCAAAACATTCCAGTTTGTCGATGACATGTCGATAACTCAATAAATTTCAAAAGCACTTAAATCCGACAGCTCAACAAAATTCGATAACTCGACTAATTTCTATAATTTTCGATCAATTTCGAGAACTGTGCGTTTAGAGGCTTCGATAACCTTCGATAGCTCAAAAATGTACATATATATCTCGATATAAATCGATAACACGTTAAACTTTGGACACCTACATATGTATCTATATATATAAATTTCGATAACTTGGCTAGTTTTGATAGTTTCACATATTTCGAAAGCCTTCAGCAGATTTTGGTAACTCGTAACATTCTGGTAGCACGAAAAAATTCTGTAAGCAGTAAAAGCTAAGGTAGTAAAACCATAAATAACTCGATAAACTTATATAACCTTGAAATTTCGATAACTCAGTATATTTTGAAAATTCCAGAAACTTCGATTCGATAAATCGACAACTCGATAAATCTCGTTAACTTTATAAATAATGAAAAATCAATAAATATCGATAACATGATAAATTTTATTATGTTAATTGTCCGTAAATTTTAACAACTAATTTTCTGTGTCAACCACTTTTGAAAACGCAACAAACATTGATCAATTTGAATGATTCGATGAGTTGCGATAACTCAATAAACATGGATATCTCGATAAATTTCGATAATTGTAAACTGTGATGATTCGATAAATTTGGGTAACTAAATTTTTTATGACTGAATTTATTTCGATTCCTATCGAATGATTTCAATAAATTTTCTTACCCTTTCCGTTAACCTAATTCTCATATATTTCTCATTGTTTTCATTTTTGTTTTATCTTAGTAATATATAGATGCCTACAATCAAAAGGCCAAAAATATTTACTCCTTCCTCCCGGCAAACGCCTTACCATTAAGTCATAATAAAGTTGCTCATTGGCTATATCAACTTTTTCTTTTAAATCTTTACAGAATTTGGATAATTGGAAGTCGTCGCGTAGAAAACGTGTCGAACATATCATCGATCGAGTTGTTGAAGTGAAAAAACTCGAATTGGAAGAACACGACCGGACACGAAGAAAATCGAAAACGTTCTCTGAAATGATCGAAGAAAGGTAAGCAAAGACATTTTTTTCACTAAAACCTCTCAGTGAGTTGCCTCTGGAGTTGCCTCTCGTCTTGGCTCGAAATAGTTCAAAGAAACTTTTTTTGTTATCCGATTTGAATCACATTCCGAGTATAACGCCACCAAACATTAGAATTGCTATAAATTTTAAACTGATTTGAGTAGAATTTTCTTATTATATTTTCTTCTTACTGTCCGCGAATGGGTTAAGCTTGCTTCTGCTTTTTTAGCTGAGTATTTTGTATATGCATGTAACAAATCTCACAATAAGAAGTAAATCAAGTTTTTGAACAATTTTAGCCTTAAAAGTTTATTTAGGCGAATTTTTCAAGTTTTTATTTAACTTGCTCTGTATGTATGTATGTTTGTTAGCGGCAAATCTTGCAATCAATTTTTGACCAACTTCCCGATGGCCTAGAGATTTGAAACAGTTTCACAGTTGGCTCAGAACCCGATGACAATGCAATACGAAAGATGAATTAATCCGATAGGTGGCGCATGAGTCAAGATATTTGAAAATCCGTACTTATGGTACGATTTGGTTCATATTTAGAAAGCCTGCTTTAAAAATATATGTATGTTATTACAATTAACTTATTTCATTGTCATTTTTTTAATAACTTTGGGAAGCTTTCAAATAGAACGTTCATATTAGAGTTAATGGATGTTGGCATCAAATACAACATATCAGTGAAGTTTGAAAAAAAAAAAAAAAAATGGCAGCTATCGGAGCTATTTGCGAATTTTTGAAATCTTACAATTTTTTCATTTTAATAATTTAAGATATTTCAAAATGCTAAAATTAAGCGGTTAAAAATGTTCTTGCCAAAACGAACGAATCTAGTGTAATAACGCTAGTGTAACACCAAATGAAAAAAATGCAGGGATGACTATAATTTGAGAAACTAAAATTCCACTTTTACAATTTTTATTGACAAACTCGAAATTCATTCTAAAATTGTTATATACACGAAAAAAGTAATATTCTTTTTCATAACGGACATCAAATTTGGTGGCACACTTTCGATTGGCTTCAACTTTTTTTATGGGTTCAACTTTTTGAAGATGATTTGCATAATAAAGTCCTGTAAATTAGGGATTTAAACTTACACCATTGTAATCCTTGTTTAATTTTCTATAAAAACATGTTTAAAAAAATTGTAGTTTTCAAGACACAACATAATTTTTTTTTACGAAATCCGTCCGATTTAAAAAATAATGGGTCATATTCTTATATGTGCTTAAGAAATACTTTGTAAAAATCTGCCACGCTAATATTTACTTACTTTAAAATAATATGACTTTTAAGTTAAGGGCGGGCAAGTAAACGTGTTAGATGATTGCGTATAGTTACGGTGACCAGATTTATGTGGCCAAAAATCGGGACATTTCTTAAGCATCGAATCCGTACATATATATTTGCTTTTGGATTAAAAAGGCATAACATATTTTAATACAGTTATATTTCAAATAAAACAAAGAGAAAAAAAAACTTGAAAAATTATCGCAAAAATGTATGCACACAAAAAATATCACTTGTAGCAATCATAAAGCAATAAGAAAACGACTCGACCAGGCGAGTTGCTTTCGGCGGACGTTTGGTAATAAGAAATCAATACGTTGGCGATATTAACGGCAATTAATTTATTGCCGGTAACTAAAATTGTCCGGTGGGTATGTGCATTAGGGTGGTCCAAAAATCCTTTGTTTTTCTCGCTCAAAGTTGTCCTTGTATTTGATATGGGTAAAAAACAATTTTTCGTAGAAAGGGTAAAGAATTCTTGAAAATCAATATTTTTTAATCGGAAAACCCTGTTCCTCTTCAGGAGACTTCCCCTAATACACAATTGTATATTTTACCATTTTTTAATACTTTATTCGTATATTACCAGTTTTTAATACTACGCTTTTGCACTTTTTTTTAATAAAATAAAAAAATCGTTAAATAAACACTATCCAAATATTATAACTGGAAGTCTAAGCATACACGGTTTTCCGACCAAAAAATATTGATTTTCAAGAATTCTATATCATTAAAATACATGAAAAACTTTGACTCTTGAGCTACCTCTAAATATTTCTTTATTTCAAAATAAAAAAAAAAAACGGAATTGAACAATCCTAGTAGGTGAGAGCTTTAAAATTCGGGCTTTACTTTTTTGGAACCACCCTAATGTGCATGCATACATACTTACATACATGCATATGCATATTCTATGCACAAATAATTATTTTCCCTTTCATCTATTATTTAAATTTAGTTAAAAAAAAAAAAAAAACTTCAACCATTTTAATTTCAGGGGCGAACGTGGTCCTCGCGGACGTGTCAAACTGGCCTCTTTAGCTGTTTACAATGAAGATGAATCGAACGATTTGAGCGATCTTGGCATTGGCACAAGCAGTGCCAGTGGCAAGAGCAGCCAATCGGAGGATTACGACAACAACAGTGTGCTGGTAAGTACATACATACATAAGCGAATGCAAAGCAAATTTAATTGAACTTGGCAATTTGAAAATCGCAAAAGACAATGCATTTAAATAAGTGCTTTGCAAAAGGTTATTGCAATGACTATAGCAACAGGTATCGGATTATACTTAGTAAATACATGATAGCAGTATATGTATACATACATACATATATATTTACGTATACTCTAAATTTTATGCTACGAGTACTATTTGCTCGTAAAAGATGGCCTTGAGTGCAGCGACACAAGTTTAATTACATACCTTCTAAAAGTTTGCATACCAAATTTAACGATTTAATTGAAATTTCTTGTAGTTGCGCAATTAGCCAACACCTCTAGCAACTTTGATTAGTTTTTCCATTTTCTATGGTTTTTCTTTCAAACTAACTACTGAATTCCGCTTTACCAAGTGACCGCATTTTTTCGTTAATTTGAAAGTCGCCGCGCTGACTTTTTTTTTGATTCTCTTTGACAAAAAAACGTTCTCATTCTTTAGAAAATGGTCACCGATTTGGGTCAACACCGGCGAAAAAAGTCAGTTATGTTTATTTCACACATTAGTTATAGCCAACGAAAAAAAAAAATAAAAATAAATTTTGTAAAACGGAAGTTCTACTCAGAGACAAATTAGCAACAATTTTTCTGCCTTAAAATGCTGCACATAGAGTCATTAGCAAGCGGTTAATTGTTGTTGTTGTTGTGTTAGACTGTACTAACTTTGTAACCATAGCGCTAACAGAATTTCACCAAAAAAGTTCACAGCTAATATCTGTGCAAAATATTCGAGCGTGCGAAATATATTTCTTTATGTAGCCAAAAGCGTAAGCAGGTCAGCTGCAATTTGATAACGCCTTTTCACGGAATAATCGAAGCTATGTTTATATGTATACATATGTACACATGTGGTCAGCTGATTAAGTTAAGTGACATTTTGACGAGTTTTGGCTATGTTTTTTTTTTATTTGGTACTTGTTATTTTTTATAAAAATCTAGAATGTTATATAACAACATATAACAGACACATAACGACTAAACTATATTTTTTTTTTATTGAACTAACCGACCTTAAACGGCTGGAATCAGGGACACCTACAGTCTCTTATTCGATGTTTCCATTGCAATATTTGCATTATGTCTTTAAAGGATAAACAACATCTATTAACAGCTTTGAAAATCTTTTTTGAGAAATAGGTTTCGGTTTTGACTGATATAGACCAGTAATGCGGGGTTTTTACACTGTACATGTTCATACCAATTGTATAGTGGTATAGTGGTTACTACTCACCAGCCACGACTAAATCGTATCCCGCGGAAGAAGCTTGTTAAAGCTTTTATAGATTCCCTGTACCTTTGAATCTAAGAAATTCGTGAAACGATCCCACAAAGTCCTGTAAAAGTCTTGAAGCTTCCCAAAAGATTCCGACAATCCCCAAAAACGAAAAATCCCAAACACTAAAAATAAAAAATGGTCGTCTCTGATTTAACTCTGCACCATGAAAACGGCTCTTAGTTACGAATTCCAAGCCTGTTATTCAATTGATTGCAAGTAATGTTAAACAAACCAACGCCAACAAAAATAAATAACTTTTAATTTCAACATCACAAAAAAAGGAAATAATGCTTTTCTCTTCAGAAAATTTAATAGTCCTTACTTTTACGCACTTCGATTTAATTTGTTAGCAATCTAATTGCCCTATTTTTTTTTTAATTTTCAATGCATTCATTTACTTTGTTCGAAATTCAGTTTTGTCAATTTGTCAAAGTCATATCGCATACGTGGTCTACACACACACACCATACGATCGCTTCATTCAATTAGCTTTTTTTGTTTTTTTTTTTTGTTTCCTTTGTGAATATAAACACTCTTGTTATGCGATTGTCGAACATTTGTTCTGATTGATCTTTCATTGTGTTCACAACAGCTGAGCCAAGCGTGTCGATTAGCTTAACGATCTTAGAGTATAATACCCGCACGCTTTACATAAAAGGAACAGTCCAGCGGAGATACAGCCGCTAAATTTAAACGTAGAATACGTGGTATGGTTAAGAGCATATCCAAGTAAAAAAAACAAAAGCACACACTAAGCAAAAAATATCGATAACAAAAGCGATAATAATATCGGTAGCAAAATCGATAAAAACATCGATAAAGAAATCGATGAAAATATTGATATCAAAATCGAAAAAATATCGAAAGCAAAATCGATAGCAAAATCGATAACAATACTGATTACAAAATCGATTACAAAATCTATCAAAATATCGATTACAAAATCGATAACAAAATCGATTATAAAGTCGATAACAAAATCCATAAAAATATCGATACCAATATCGATAGCAACATCAATAAAAATATCGAATATAAAACCTATAAAAAAATCTATAACAATATCGATAGCAAAATCGATAAAAATATCGGTAACAAAACCGATAAAAGTATCGATGACAAAATCGATAGCAAAATCGATTACACAATCGATAACAAAATCGATAAAAAATATCGATAACAAAATCGATAAAAGTATCGATCATTATATCGGTAAGTTCCGAAAATATCGATAGCAAAACCAATAACAATATCGATAACAAATTCGATGAAAATATCGATAACGAAAGCAATAATAATATCGATAGCTAAATCGTAAACAAAATCAATAAAAATATCGATGACAAAACCGGTAAAAATATCGATTACAAAATCGATTAAAATACCGACAACAAAATCTATAAAAATATCGGTAATAAAATCGATAACAAAATCGATAAAAATATCGATAACAAAATCGATAAATAATCTATCATAAAATCGCTTACAGTGTCGATAACAAAATCGACAACAAAGTCAACAAAATATCTATAACAAAATCGAGAAAAAATATCGATAACAAAATCGAAAAAATACCGATCATTATATCGATAAGTTCCGAAAATATCGATAGCAAAATCAATAACATTATCGATAAAAATTTCGATAGCAAAATCGATAAAAACATCGGTAATAAAACCGACAAAGTATCGATTATTATACCGATAAACCCCGAAATATGTACTTACGGACACATACATACTTTTTGTCTCCTTCCCACGCTTCCAATGCGTGCACGTGTTTGCAAAACGATGACGAGGTGATTTTGTATGGAAAATCATTTATGCCCATATATTTGAATAAAATAAACATATATAGAAGATATCAACCAATACTTCCCATATACCAAACCAAAGGAAAACTCTTGAATTTTTGATTAAAGAAAACAAAAACAAAATCATTTGAGCGGTTTTCGAGCATTTTGGTAATGAAAAAAATTTGCAAATTTTTTCAACAATTTTTTGCCTTAAAATGCTCAATATTTGTTAAATTTATATAAAATTTGTACCCGATAATATTTCTACTGCTCCAAAGAACCTATATCCCGAAAATGAAAGTTATATATGCCAGCAATAAGTTGCTAGAGCACTTTAAAGGCTCAAAATTGACCCCAAAATAAGACAGGTTTGGAATTTTATCTTTGAAACGCCACACTTTTCTTTGAAATCGCTTTATTAGTTCTCGTGCAATAAGCGTTTTTGTGAAGCTCTAAAAATTACAACTACAACATTTGAACATAGCCCCCATACCTTAAGGTAAGACGTATTCTACGTCAAAAATTCTGACAATAGGTTGACGACGGTGGTGCTTCCGCTGCAGCAAATACTAACCAAATTAAAGATTTTATAAACGCTGAAAAAAATTACGAATAACTAAGGATTTTAGCGATCTCTTGCTTGTCACTTGATGCGTAAGAAGCTCTTAGACAGAGGAAAGAACTTGACGCAGAATAGATCAGCACCAGGGGGCTTCTTTCTCCGAAGCAGCTTTCATGATCTCACCCTCTTATTTTTATCTTAATTAAACTTGCCGCTTAGGGCAGTACGGTCATTAGATTTTACGGCCTTGTCGACCGCGAGAGGACTGCTGTAGATTGACCCGGCGCAGTGACCGCACATGGATTTCGTTTGCAACGTTTCTCTACTTTCCTATAAAATCTTGCTTTAGCCCATCTTATAAGAGCACTAGATAAATAACTATAAAATGTGTTTTGAAATAATTTTTTTAATTATGAAAATGTGTTTCCTTATATTTCTTAACACTGATATAACTTTTCTTTTCCTGTACTTCCTCCAGAGCGACAACGCTGAACTGGACAAGGCCATATTCGAGAATAACCAAAAACCCAGCAGCATCCCGGCGCGCGAATACATCTCCTCGCCCGGCTACGACACCTCCTCCAGCACTGCGCCCGGCAGCTCGCCCGATCCATGTGAATACACCTACGAGGGTGCCATTCAAGACTACAAACAACGCGTCTCTCGCGCCAGTGGTGGCAGCGCTTTAGCCAATTTCAAGCTCAACGCCGGCAACACAAGTGGAGCGCTGATTTCTAAAACCAACACCACCGCCTCGAAAGAAGCATCACCGGAATGTGGCAACTCCACCACGCCAAGCAGCGATACATATCCCACACGGCGCGGCAGTAAAATCGAAGACCGTCTCATCGGTTTCGAAGTTACCTCACCCAGTGATAGTCAAGAGGGTTTGGAAAAGAAAGTTGATGTACCAAAAATAGATATTTCGAAGCGTAAGGAGATTTTCGAAAATCAAAATGCCAATACGGAACCAAAGTCACTGAGCAATAGTGGCGGTGGTAGCGTCGCCGTGCCACGCGTTACTCTACGCGATCGGTTTAAGCTGGACGAGAGCGCCGCTGGCAACGGTGAAGTTTATGATACAACGCTGAAGCGCGAGGTTAAGCGTCTATCGGGTGACATTACTAGCATACGTACGCGCATGCAAAGTCTCGAACAGCAGCAGAATTTAGTCAATTCAACAAATGGCAGCGTCGGTGCCGGTAAGGCGTCGAACGCAAAATTAGTCGATATACCAGTACCACCATTGAAGGATCGCTTGTCTAGTTTACAAAATGCCGTAGCCAAAGAGGAGGTGAAGAAAGCGCCCGTAGCACTTGTTGACGCCCGCCAACTCGAGATAATGAAGAGCGAAGAGGAGCAGCGACGCATGAAACAAATGGAGAGCGAGAAGAAAGCGCAAGTTGTGGAGGAGGTGGCGACTAAGGAGCAAGTGAGTGCGTCATCTGCAGCGGAGGCGCCTATTCCAAAGGAGCTGGTGGTTAAAATCGATGCACCCGAGGAGGAGGTCGACCGCGACGACAGCGGAATTCACACTGCCGACGGCGAAATCGAAGCGACTGAGGCGGGACTCTCCGAGCAGGAGCAGCAACTTAACGCGGCCATTGCAGCACTAGCACTGGAGGAACAGCAGCTGACCGAGGCAGCCAATGCGGTGAACCAAATAGAAGCGGAGTTCGCTGAACTCTCCACGAACGCAGTGAACGCCATCGCCAGCGATCTAACGACAGCGACAGCGTCTGCAAAAACAACTAACGAACAGCCATGCGAAATGGATTTTAGTGTAAGTTCTACTAACAAATCCTTGCTTGAACCCGCTATAAGTAGTGTTAAGAGTAGTTTTGAACTTGAAAATACTAGTATTGAAAGTAGTAGTCGTAGTATTGGTGAAAAAATAGCTAACGCTGAAAAAGAACAACAGAAAGTAAACAATACAGTTTGTGCTAAATCTGAACAAAAGGTGTTGGGAAATAATTTAACTGTTACTTCACCTACGAACTTACAAAGAAAACCCTCGAACGAGATGGTGCACGCGCGCAATCTGCTGCGCATGTTCAAAGAGACCTTCAAGAGTGACATTGAATTAGACGAGCTGCAGGAGCATGAGGTGAAGCCAATATCTGAACCCTCAATCGGTGGTGGGAGTGGTGGTGCCATACCCAAGCAAACAGTTAGACCACTGAACTCAAATGGGCCTCAACTTTCACCCGGGCCGGTGTCAATCACTGGTGAAAGCCCACAACGCCCACAAACACCCACACCGTTCACATTAACAGCTGCGGCTGACGCTCCAATAAGCACACAAATATTTCAATCTTCCACTATATCCCCTTCGGCTTTGTCCCCACCATCCCCTTCGCCCTTCACTCAGCCCACTTCTCCCATGGCTATACCACAAACACCACCATCTCCTTCACACGCTACACGCGCGCCCACTCCGCCGCCACGCTCTTCGCCGAGTGTGCTTATGTCTAACGGTTTCTCGATGATTCCGCGTGCCGTCAATCCAATTGGCAAACCACCCATGTCACCCAAGTCGACACGTTATACCGTCATTAGTCCCGTTAACAGTCCACCGCCCGCGCGCAAATCAGCCGACGACAATCCATTCAGCATCAACGGACGTGTAGAGATTTTCAATTCAAAGAATATGAACACAAATCCGACCGGTAAACCGCCAACGCCAACGATGAATGCAAGAAAATCATATGTGCCACAATTGGGTGCAACAACACCAACATCACCAATACTTGGTCGTCCGCCATCGCCCATGAATGCCACTGCGTACAATGGCAGTGTCGGGTTTCCTAAGCAGCAACAATTCCCAACAACGGTGACGGTGACCGCATTACCCCCGACCACATCACCGCCGCCAGCTTCTAATCAAATGCTGCAGGCAAAGACAGCTGCTGCGAATGCGGCGAAATCAATGCCAGGCGTGCAAGTAGTCAATGAACCTTCACATGAAACCCGATTACCCAATGTGACAACTGTGCCGCATTCACCACAACAACAACAACAACAGCAACAGCAGCAGCATAACCATGCAGAAGTTGTTATGTGCGCACCGCCGGTAACCATCTTGAATCCGGATGAGCTGCCGAAACCCAACACCGTCAAAGCGCTTTCCAGTTGCTTCTCACAAGATGTGGCAGCATCTAATCAACCAGCCGGTAAGACGAAACCGCCGATACTGGGCCCGAAGCCTTTGCCACGCAGTCGCATACCACAAACGCCGCCTCAATCACCTACGCCAGCAAAGAGAAATTTCCTCAATTCGCCATCGGCGGCCACAGATGCAACGGTAAAAGAGTTTACAAAAACAGGAACAACAAGTAGCGCGCTGCCAAAGCAACCACAGCCTAAGCCCTCTGCCGCAGCTGAGATGGCACCCAATTTGGTTGCACCCAATGCAGATGATTTGAAGAAACTTTCTATCATCTCAGATATTTCGACGGTTTCAAGTGATTCCAGCGTCTGCACAGAGCCCTTTGAAACCACGGCACAGGTACATTCACCACCAACGGTACTGGAACGTACCAATGAGCTGAATCGCGCAGCTCTCAAGCCGTTACCGTTGATGCGCAACGCCCATAACAGCTCAAACAAACCAGGTACTTCAAATCGGCCCACTGACGATCCGCTCAAACCAAATGACTCGCTCACGCCCGTCATATCAGTGCCCTCACAGATGCCCACGCTCGTGGCCTGCAAGCCTAATCAGTCTACACTATTCAAGCTGACCACGCCACCAGCATCGCCGCACTCACCGCTCTCACCTACCGATGTGACACTCTGCAACAATTTCCTCAACTCCTTCGAACCCACAAACTCATACTTACCTGTGCAACAGAAGAGCGTTGATGAGTCGCCTTGTGACAAGATGGACGTTAACGAATTGCCGCCAAGTAAGCGGCCTCCTTGCACCTTCTACGAGGACATCAGCGCCAATAAAGTTAAAGCGTGTGATGAATCCGGTACGAAAACTGAAATTTCACGCCAGTCCGTGCCACCTCAGGCGCAGCGTCAGCACACAGTGGAGGAGAAGATCTGCCAGAAAATTGACGTGAATGATCTACCAGCCTACGATCAGGTACCGCTGACTGGCTATGACGAAGTTAGCGCTGAGCAAGTGCGCATTTGTGATGGTCTCAATGCGAGACCACCAAGTAAAGGTAGCGATCCAAGCACACCCAGAACGTCATCGCAGAGCACCGGCAGCGCACCCAGCACACCGGACACACCAACAACCGTGAAAAGTATGCCCATAACGCCGATAAGTAATATTCCCTTAGCTAGCTCAAAATCAAATACCTCACGTCCCAACTCCAAGCCAAATTCACCAATAATGGTCGCGCGCGCAGCACACTCGCGTGCACTCATTGAGACCTGTGAGCGTATTATCGCAGAGGAGCGTCTGCACAGCAGTCAAATAAAGTCTGCTTTACCGACTCACGCCGTCGCCAAGAGCAGCGGCACTCCCCTTCTTCAACGCAAATCGAAGATACCCAAACCAATACCCTGCTGCATCAGCGCTACAGATTCAATGAACCAAGCCGATCAGCCGGCTAAACCTGTACTCAAGCAAAGCAGTGGACCCCCAACACCGGAATCGGTTGATGAAAATATGATAATTGGGCGATTGCATGTGGTCGAAACACAAATCAAAGTCACTACCTCTACGCCACCGTCCTCGCCAACCGTGACAACAAAGTCGAACGGAAGCGCAAAACCAGTGGCGAACCAAAATCCGAAGAAAACGAAAAATATTTTCGACTTCTTACGTAAAAACTTCGGAATCGGTGATGATAACCCACCGGCCGTTGCAGCTGCTGCGAGTGTTGAAGAGGAAGTGGCACCGTCTGTTGTTCCGCCGGCTGTCGAGAAGGATGTTGTGAAATTGGATGAAATATTCACTGTGGATAACTCAAAGTTCTATATACCTTCAGATGATGTGCCACCACCGCCGCTGCCAAAGACGCCAGCGCCTGTGAATATCGAGATAACAAAGACCTTTACCACAAACGAGATCGTTGAGGAGGGTACCAGCGAGCAGGATTTGGTGCAAGAGATCAATGAAATGCTAGACGATGAACTCAATAGATTGACGCTGGAGAGTGGCTCAAGCGTGAGTGGTGGTGGCACAGGCAAATAGGTCTTGGAAGATGCTATTTTTTGAAAGGCATATGTGTGAAGGGTCTTTACGTCACTATTTAAGAGTGGGCGGTGCTATCTACATATATCTACTTAAATAAGAACCGGTTAAAACTACTTGGCCTGTTGAAGACTTTGATATCATACCAATTTTTCTAAAAAGGCAGCTTACGTTCTTATAGTTTCTTTAAGTGATTTACCGCCTTTCTGTTGTGCGTGTGAACCTACCTTAAGTCACTCTTTTAAAATGCTTGCTACGTACGAACCAGCCTTAAACCTCTCTTTAATAGATTTAACTGCTTTCGTCAACGCATTGCCGCATCTGCGGTTTAAAGAAGAAGAACAAATCGAATTTATAAATATTAGATTATCGTGTTATTATTTACTTATAAAAAAAACAAAAAATATTTGATTCGTTTTTCTTACACTAGTTAATAGTCTCTATCACTTGAGGACTTAAATGAAATGACCAGCAAGTGTTGCAGTTCTCAAATCCCCCAGTTGTAATATTCTACTGGAGCTTTTTGAAAAAGCTTTTCCAAAGCCATTCTTACTGGCACTTTGCCTCAACGTCTCTTTCTACTTTAAAAATGCTCATTAATCAACCAATTGAGCACGAAAGCAAGAAGAGAAAATCACTAATCCCCTCGAAAGCCACAAGCTCAGTCGTCTACTCACTCTCGCACTCAAACGCGCGACCACACGCTCGTATGTTCGCTAGGTTATATTCACAGCTATTCTTTTGTATATTATTTTCTTTAGGTATATGTTTCTTGAACTATTTTTTCTACTTCTATTATACGCTACTCAATGCATTGCAATAAAATTGTAAAGCTTTTCTGCAAGCTCGAATATATTCTGTAGCGGGGCTTTCAAATGCGCAAGCAATGTATCGCTGTCAGCTTAAAAAAAAAATATATCAAAATACTTTTATTTAAATCGCAAATAGGTGGTAAATTTTTAAATACTCGCTACTGTTTTCAATAAAGCATTTTTTATTTAATTTTATTTGAATTAGCTATCATTCAATTTGCGTTTAATTTGACGCATCAAAAATTTTTGTTAAATCACAACAAATGTATGTAAATGTACCAAGAAACAAAAATGCTACAAAATAAACGTTTTTCTTTGTAATTAATTTTTCTAAAAAACTGAAAACGTTTTTCTTTATTTTTTCGATTTCAACACTTTTTGTCATTCTTACCCCATTCTTACATTTCATACAAACAAACATAGATATGTACATATGTAAATGTTCTCACGTACATATCCATCCACTCAATTACATTTCCATTTGATTCATTTTCATTCTCGTTCGAATAAATTTGTCTCAATTTCGCATTTTCAGAAAGCTTCTGGTTGTGGTGTCGGTTATTTTAAGCTTAAGCTTTAAGTTTTCTCCTATGAGCGCTGTTTTTATACTGGTAATGAAATGTAGAAAGCCCTTTTGCTGAACGGGTTTTCAAATCGTTTTTTTTTTTTTGTATTTTTAAGCAGTTATTAGCAGGACTGTGCTCTCGCATTCTCGAAATATTGATATACATACACTCGGAGTAACCACTAAGTCTTGCGAGTCCTTGTACGGTATACGGATTGCACGGTTCGCAAAGTTTTCCTATAGGAAATCCG